TTGGGGACAACCCGTGCCAAGTGACTAATTAGTAGCAGAATATTTGGGGGCAACCCGAACCAAGTGCCTAATTTGTAGTAGAATATTTAGGGGCAACCMGTACCAAGTGCCTAATTTGTAGTAGATTTTTGCGAGTGTGTTAGTGAAAAATGAAGGATTGGTTACTTGTAGGTTTATACAATGGAGAGGAGTGATGTCATTAAAATCTAAAATTATTCAAAGCTCTAACAAAGCTGATGTTATTTTACAAATAAAAGCATAAAATAGCTCTGTTATATCATTTGTAATAACAATTGATCATCTAGACCGGCAATGTACGTTGCCAGCAATCTGTCAAATACATTGTCAATGAGGTTGGGGCTTGTGTGGGCGTTTCATAACAAAATACTGTATAATCAATCTCGAAATTGCGTCGGCATGGGTAAGCCATCGGGTAGGTAGGTTCGGGCTACTACAACGCATACTTTGAGCTTTTGAACTGTTTAAAATTTTTATAAGGATGAAAAAATTTTGTGGCATAGTTTTGTTTGAAATTTTAAGAAATTTTTAAAGTAGGAATCAATATATGCAAGCAGGGACATATACTTTTTTATATGACCCTGCTGAATGAGCGCAACAATGATGTATGACCATGTATGTATGTATGTATGTATGTGTTTAGTTACAAAAAACATGGGAGACAGGCATTTCATTTTTGTTGCCATCTTAAGTGGCATGCTCAGGACGCCTCTTCAAAATTTGTCTTCTTTATTGACATAGACACCGCCTACGCCGTTATAACTGAGTTAACAACAGCGCGCCAATCGTTTCTTTTCTTTTAGCAATTTGCCAATTCGAGATAACAAGTGCAGCCAGGTCCGTCGACACCTGATCTCTCTAACGGAGTAGAGGTCTTCCTCTTCCTCTGCTACCCCTGACGGGTACTGCGTCGAATGCTTTTAGAGCTGAAGTGTTTTCATCCATACAGACGATATGACCATGAGCAGTCGCTGTCTTTTAATTCGCTGAACTATGTCAACGTCGTCGTATAACTCGTACAGCTCATCGATTTATCGAATGCGATATTCGCCGTTGCCAATCGGCAAAGGACCATACATCTTCCGCAAAACCTTTCTCTCGAAAACTCGTAACGTCGACTCACCAGATGTCGTCCATGTCTCTGCCCCATATATCAAGACGGAAATAATGAGTGATGTTTAGAGTTTGCTTTTGTTCATCGAAAGAGGTTCTCAATTGTCTACTTAGTCCGAAGTAGCACCTGTGGGCAAGAGTTATTAAGTGCTGGAGTTCGAGGGTGACATTGTTGTTGGTGTTAATACTGGTTCGAAGATAGACGAAATTATCTACGACTTCGAATTTATGACTGTCGACAGTAACGTGGGAGCCAAATCGCGAGCGCGACGACTGTTAGTTTCCTTTTAATTGATGAAGAGGTGGTAGTGTCGATCCTCTTTTCACGGCTTTTTTTTTCAGGTCTAAAACCACACTGATAAGGCCCAATTGAAGCCTTCTGTCAGTCGACGTATTTTTCACATAATTCCCTTTTACTGAGTTGCTAATGAGTGCTCCCAAAGAGCATGAGTGCAAGTCGAGTATAAAATCGTTAGGCTGTTGTGACTGCAGCTTCTGCACGTCGAACCTTCCTTGTGTTTGTTGTTGTGTTTGTTTTTTTGCTGCACAAAGGCGGGTGTTTATCTTCTGCAACAAGATAGTAGTTCGAGTCAATGCTAGGACCTTGGAGCGAACGCACATATAAAACACGGAAGACGTGTCTTCCATTTATTACAACATAATCGATTTGGTTGGTGGCTTTTCGATTCGGAGATAGCCAGGTAGCTTGATGAATTTTTCTATGCTGAAATTTTGTACTACATTCAACCATATTTCGTGCCCTGGCGAAGTCGATCAGCCTCAAACGATTTGGGAATGTTTCATTATGTAAGCCGAAATTACCGACCGTTGTGCAAAATATACCTTCTTTGCCCACCCTGGCGTTAGAGTCGCCAAGCAGGATCGTTCTTCTCTACCGTCGGGACGTGGCCGCAAATCAGCTAGATGAAGAATTTCGATTTGATGTGGCTAAACGTTTATAACCCGGGGTGAATCCCAAAACTCGGCGACGGAGTCACTCTCCCACCACGAATCCCACACCGAATTTGTGCTCGTCTCAGTCCTTGTCCCGTCCATCGCACTAAGTACTTGATTTGTATTGGTTTTCTATAAGGTGGTCAGCACACTCACACTGGTTCGAAAGCGAAAGTTGTTTGCAGTATTATAGTTAGGAGGGTTATTTTTGGTTTAAAAATTGTTGAAAGGTCCGGATCACCATTTCGTCACATGGAGTGAAAATAGGTGAAATCGGATAATAACCACTCCCACAACGTATGAATGGAGCATTAAAATATCGTAATTTAACTCTAAGTATCTCTTTGCTAAAATAGATAATGGCATTCGAAAAAGGTTTTGGTATAGTTCCAATATTATTAATTAATGATTTCTAGCATCTGGTTGACCTTTGAATCTTGCAAATCTAGAACGGCAATTATTTTAACTTTTGATGTTTATAACTTCGATAGCGTGTTGTAAAAAACGTAATAATCATGGAAGAGTCTTTGCTAAAACTAACTACAAGATTTAGCATACTAAAAATAAAATACTACAATAAAATACGCAAATAAAAAGATTAGCTATACATAAGTATATAGTATGCAATATTTATTGTATATAGATCTGTATGTGCATAAGCACATTCTTCCTAAAAGCTTTTGATAAATATCAATAAGTTGTACCTATATGACTCTTGTCTATTTTAACAATTATTTAAATCAATTTTGACCTTCATTAGAACGCTCAGGGTTAAGCTCCAGTAACTGACAAACTTGTCTTTCAAGTTTCTTTCACAAAAATCGCATTCTTGTATAAGTGCAGTCAAAGTAACAAATTCAACCTTCTTGTAGTTCACAACAGCGGAGATAATGATTTCATGATTTTTAATACAGTACACTTGGAGATACATATACAGGCTACGTATAAATCGTAAAAAATAACATTCGTTAAATATTTTATTCGAATTCAAAGACAAATATAGCCACCCTGGAGTTAAATCTTCTAATTTAAAACTAGTATTATTTGCCATAACGCATTATGAACTCGTTTTATAGTTGTTAGATGAATGTCTAGTTAGTAAACGTGCT